GAAACATACATGCTCAGATTCATAAAAGTGCCTCCCCCCAAAAAATGCAAACTCTTACCCAGCAATCAACCTGAATGGGAACTAGAGATTTGGTAAGAAAACAGTGAGCTACAAGATCAACCCCTTTTTAAATTTTGAAGCCCAATTTATAAAATGGAGCTCGGGGGAAGAGCCAAGGTGATCCAAAGAATGGCTCTGGACATCTCTAGTTCCTGCTTGCAAGACCCACTGAACCCTCTGATAACACGTGGCATGCGTTAACTGGACGGTGGCAATCCTCCCTGTTGGGTAGGCACCTTTATACCCCAGAAAATTAAGAATTAAGTAACCAACATTCAATGAGTTCTTAATTAAATCTTCCTTAGAAAGTCAATTAAGTGAAATGATAATTATGGCAGAGATGCTAATTATCTCCCAATATCTATTCTCTCTTTCTCCCTTGTAGTACACAACTCCAGGTTTCCGCTGAACCCATGGGTGCCTAGCTGGGGGATGATCTCTCAGTCTCCCCAGCAGCTCAGAGGGGAACAAGTTCTGGGCAAGCAGATTGGAGCAGAAGTGGCATGTAAAACATCTGGATTGCTATTTTAAAGAGGAAGCTGGTGTCTTCCACCTTCTGTCTTCCCCCTCTCTGAGGGCAGGAATGTGGATGAAGCTGACAGTGGTAGAGTGGAAGGGACAGAAAAAACAAGGAACAAGATAGGGAAAGACAAAAAAAAGTCCTTGGATGGCCTTACTGACAGAACCACCTCCCTGAGATAGAAATTAACTTCTGGCTTATTCGGGCCGTGGTAGTTCTGGGTCTCTTTGTTACAGCAGCAAAGCCTGTATCCTACATAATACAGTCTCTATGTTCCTTAAGATGTGGTCCATCTTTTAACCTCATGAGCCATACGATTAAGTAATGATTTAGGAGATTCAAAGCATAGCAGTCATATTTTTGTGTTAAGAAGGAATCTGTGCATATTTGATATTAATTGCAATATTTTGGAAATCCTGATCTTGGTTTTAAGTTGAAATCTGACTGATTTATATATAATATTAGAACATATAAAAAAAAAAACCTTCAAGCTTACCATATTTATAAGCTTATTACAGTCACATACTGCGCGAGGACATTTCATGCAATGACAGACTGCACATATGCCAGTGGTCCAGTAAGATTATGATGGAGCTAAAAAATTCCTACGGCCTAGTGACACTGTAGTGCAATGCAGTACTCATGTGTTTGTGGTGATGCCAATGTAAACATACCTGCACTGTCAGTTGTATAGAAGTTCAGCATATATAATTACGTACAGTACACACTACCTGAAAATGATAACCAACAACTATGTTGCTGGTTTGTGTATTTACTATATTATCATTGTTATTTTAGAGAGGACTCCTTCAGGAGGTGTTCCAGAAGAAGCCATTGTTATCACAGGAGATGAGAGCTTCATGCATGTTATCACCCCTGAAGACCTAATAGTGGGACAAGGCACACAGGTAGAAGACAGTGATACTGATGGTCCTGACCCTTTGTTGGCATAAGCTAATGTGTGTGCTTGTGTCTCAGTTTTTAATAAAAAGTTTAAAAAGTAAAAAATGAACACAAAATATTAAAGATAGAAAAAAGCTTATAGAATAAAGATATAAAGAAAGAAAATATTTTTGTACAGCTATACAATGTGTATGTGTTTAAGCTAGGTGTTATTACAAAAGAGTCAAAAAGTTTTTAAAGATTAGGCCAGGTGTGGCAGCTCACATCTATAATCACAGCACTTTGGGAGGCCAAGGCAGGGGGATTGCTTGAGGCCAGGAGTTCAAGACCAGCCTGGGTAATAGAGCAAGACCCTGTCTCTACAAAAAATAAAAAAATTAGCCAGCCACAGTGTTGCATGCCTGTATTCCTAGCTACCTGGGAGATCGCTTGAGCCCAGGAGTTCAAGGTTGCAGTGAGCTACAACTGGACCACTGTACTCCATTCCGGGTGGCAGTGCAATACCCTGTCTCTTGGGGGAAAAAAAAAAGTTTTAAAAAGTTTAGAAAAAATATTTTTTATAAATTTAGTGTAGCCTAAGTGTACAGTGTTTATAAAGTCACAGTGGTGTATAGTAATATCCTAGGCTTTGGTGTATAGTAATATCCTAGGCTTTGGTATATAGTAATATCCTAGGCTTTGGTGTATAGTAATATCCTAAGCTTTGGTATATAGTAATATCCTAGGCTTCACAGTCACTCACTAACTCACGGACTTGCCCAGAGCAATTTCCTGTCCTGTAAATTCCATTTGTGGTAAATGCCCTATACAATTGTACCATTTTTTATCTTTTATACTGTATCTTTACTGTGCCTTTTAATGTTTAAATATGTGTAGGTACACAAATACTTACCATTGTGTTACAATTACCTACAGTATTCAGTAACATGCTCTACAGGTTTCTAGCCTAGGACAACAGGCTGTACCACAGAGGTAGGCTATCCTGTCTAGGTTTGCGTAAGTACACTTTACAATGTTTGCACAAGGACAGAATCACCTAACCACACATTTCTCAGAAAGTATCCCTGTCATTAAGAAACGTACAACTGTAATTTATAAGAGTTACATAAGTGTTCAAAAAGGTGGTATCTGTTCATCCAGACAACTTAAATATCTAAAAAGAAATGGGGTGGGGTAGAGGGAGCAGGCAGGTGAACTCTGGGGGCCCCTCAACTAGAAACTAGAACTGTATGTTCTAGCGAGTGATGAGTTCATGGGTATTTATTGTATTATTTGAAATTCATAAGTGAATGAAAGTCATGCATAAACCAGTGATGAGAGTACATTTTGAATAAGGAATATGATTAATCCAATTCTGTGCACCCAGAGTCCAAAATTAAAATGGAATATTTGAAGATATTTGAGTTTGTAGACAGAATAATTACTCAAAAATCCCTTTTAAGGCCGGCGCGGTGGCTCACGCCTGTAATCCTAGCTCTCTGGGAGGCCGAGGCGGGCGGATGGCTCGAGGTCAGGAGTTCGAAACCAGCCTGAGCAAGAGTGAGACCCCGTCTCTACTATAAATAGAAAGAAATTAATTGGCCAACTAATACATATAGAAAAAATGAGCCAGGCATGGTGGCGCATGCCTGTAGTCCCAGCTACTTGGGAGGCTGAGGCAGCAGGATTGCTTGAGCCCAGGAGATTGAGGTTGCTGTGAGCTAGGCAGACACCACGGCACTCACTCTAGCCTGGGCGACAAAGTGAGACTCTGTCTCAAAAAAAAAAAAAAAAATCCCTTTTAAAAGTGACTGCAAATTGTTGTTAAACTTGTAAGAATGGTAAGCTGGATTTAAAAGCCCAGAGAAGAATGGATTACCATATGAAAAGGACTCTTCATAGTTTAAAAAAACAAAACCAAATATCAACAATTTCATATGATTTGAACTGTTTAATTTGTAATTTTAATACATTTTAAATCATTTTTAAAACAAAAATAAAGTTTCTGAATAGTCTTTTCTACATATACAAATTATCTGCATTCACCAAAAATCTTCCTAACAGATGGTCCCTTTCTATCAAACACAGGAGGCCATCTGCAGGTACTGCTTGATTTAATTTGAGTTAATAAAACCTTTATTTATTTTGGAATCTCGATGACCTAGATCTCTTTAAAACCATTAATTTGTTCTTCTGGCTACTAGAAAGGATATAGATGTTGGTTAAAATCTTGTCTACCACTTAGCAGCTGGTGGCTTTAGGCACATCATTTAATCTTATAATCTCAGTTTTCTTACCTTTAAAACAGCAATTAATTATACCTTGCAGAGCTGTAAGCATTAGGGGTAATGTATGTAAAAGACCAGCAGTGGCTCGATAAATGGCACTATTATTGTCATAAGTGTACATAAAGCTAAATAAACATTGTGAGCCTTCAGGAGAGAACATCTTGTCTCAATGCACGAGCCTGCTCTTGGGCCCAAATGCTCCACCACTTCTGGGGCCCCAACCAGAAAGTCTCCCGCTCTCCTTCGCTATCTCCACCTAATTCAGTCTACCACGAATTCTGCTCAGTTATTTCTTGTCTTACTCCCCCTTCTTCCCCTTCTCTCATCCCAATATAGAGTCTTATGGAAAATCTCCACGAAATGGGAAGCCAAGAAACATGGCTATCATCAGCAAAATCCCTTCTGGATTATCCACATGGAGGGCAAGGAACACACAGGGGTGAGTGAAGGCAGAAAGGCAAGGATAGCTCCTCGTGGACAGGGCAGGGGAGGACATGGACACGGGTGGGTGAGGGGCAGACTCCCGTGAGCCTGAGCGCTCAGGCTGCATCTGGCAAAGACATCCACACAGAGCTTGAGCAAGAGTGTCCCAGCTGGACTTGTGTCCAGAATGATTAACTCCGGCCACCGGAGGGAAGGAAAACCCAAGGAAGGGATACAAGACAGGATACTTTGACAGTCCACACAAAAGACAATGAAGATGAGAACGAAATGAGGATGAATGGAAATGAGGCGCAATGCTGAGCCCTCTGGGGAGGGGCATCCGACCTGGGACCTTCGTGGAGGTAAGGAGGAGGTGAGAGGAAGAGCAGGTTGGGGTGTTAATCTGGGATTTCCTTTTTTTTAAAGCAGAAGAGTGCAAACAGCTCGTTTTAGACATGTTGCTGACGTTGAAGTGTTTTCAGAATACTCAGGGCAACATGTCTAGGAAGTAGGTAGAACGTTAAGCCCTCTATTCGGGCTGATTTGGGAATCAAGACGATGGCCTGGGAAAGAGCATCCGTCCAGCAGTGCTGGTCACTTGCCTCTTGTATAATGTGAGCCACAAATAACAAGCCACACACGTGGTTTTACATTTCCTAGCAGCCGCATTAAAAAGGTGAAAACAATTTAACAATATAATTAACCCAAAATATCCAAAAAGAAGAGGAGCCACAAAGAATCCTGGGAAGAGCACTCATAAAAACATTTGATGTTGATTAAGACATATATTTTCTTTATGGTACACAAGTAAAAAACAGGTTACTCACTGTGTCTGAAGAGGAAGATGGCCTCTGTAAATTCTCCCCTTGGACCCAAATGCTCTCCGTCACAAATGCTATGTGCTCTGCTTCAAGTATAAAAGGAGAAACAAGAAAGAGGGCCCATTTGTTCAAGTCTTCAATGGACTGTGTAGAGGGGAAAAGAAACATAAAGAGGATTCAGTGTCACTTCAAAACACAAGTGCCATGTGTCTCAGCCTCGTCTGTGACATACCTTCCTCTGTAATTCCAGGTGAGGTCTAAAGAAGCTTATCTGAAGCTCTTCTGTAGACCACATGAAACCTATGTTTCTCGTCTAACTGTGACTATTCAAATAGCCGCAAAAGCCTCTCTATGGCTCTTGACAGCTTCAACATCTCTAGATCTTTGTTTTCAAAGAATCAACTCTGAAAGTGGGTTTCTCCCCACCAGTCTTTACACTTAGGGTGTAGGAGCTTTCCAAATCACAACTTGGAAGCACGGTTTAAAGAGGAAGAGGCCAGGAAGTGCATGCTCACCTACAGAACCCATAGGGCTGTTTACTCATTCCCTGCAGCCTCAAAGCAAGGGACCTAAAGCAATTCCTTACCCAGAGAGACGTAAACACAGCTCCTCTCCCTGAGATCTGAGAAGTATGCCAGCCTCCAGGTACTCATACCATCGCCAAACCCAGAGAAAGAAGCTATGGCAGGGACAGGCATTTACCATATGCAGTGAAGCAATCAAGCATATTTTAATGGGAAGGTAAACTCCAGTCAAGAGTGATTTTAGGGCCGGGCATGGTGGCTCACGCCTATAATCCTAGCACTGTGGGAGGCCCAGGTGGGCGGATTGCTCCATGTCAGGAGTTCGAAACCAGCCTGAGCAAGAGCAAGACCCTGTCTCTACTAAAAATAGAAAGAAATTAATTGACCCACTAAAAATATACATACAAAAAATTAGCCGGGCATGGTGGTGCATGCCTGTAGTCCCAGCTACTCAGGAGGCTGAGGCAGTAGGATAGCTTGAGCCCAGGAGTTTGAGGTTGCTGTGAGCTAGGCTGATGCCACGGCACTCACTCTAGCCTGGGCATCAAAGTGAGACTCTGTCTCTAAAAATAATAATAATAAAAAAATTTTTAAAAAAAGAGTGATTTTAGTTTTTTTTTTGTTTTTTTTTTGAGACAGAGTCTCGCTTTTGTTGCCCAGGCTAGAGTGAGTGCCGTGGCGTCAGCCTAGCTCACAGCAACCTCAAACTCCTGGGCTCAAGCTATCCTACTGCCTCAGCCTCCTGAGTAGCTGGGACTACAGGCATGCACCACCATGCCCGGCTAATTTTTTTTTTTTATATATATATCAGTTGGCCAATTAATTTCTTTCTATTTATAGTAGAGACGGGGTCTCGCTCTTGCTCAGGCTGGTTTTGAACTCCTGACCTTGAGCAATCCGCCCGCCTCGGCCTCCCAAGAGCTAGGATTACCGGCGTGAGCCACAGCGCCCGGCCTGATTTTAGTTTTTTTAAAAGCAGATTAGAATCAAGATGGTTTGACAGATCAGATATACCCAATTGTCTGTGTTCTGCTTTCTGAAATCTCTCTAAAAAAATAAAACAGAAATTGGTTTTAAAAGGCTTTAACCCACCAAAAACAGGGCAAAGCCAGAGCAGAAAAAGCTGAAGTCTAAGGCTGGCGTGGAGGAGCCTCATCACCCCCAAAGAAAAGCATCTGGAGCAGGCCCACTGTGTCTCTCCCTAGTTCAAGTCTACCCTTGCCCAGCAACCTGGAACGTATTGATGCTGGATAAAAATCTGTTAAACTAAATAATCAATGAAAATTTAGTGGGGGGGAATGGGTAAACATAATTATCAACATAATGCAGTTAAAAACAAAAAAAAAAAAAGGCTCTCCACTTGACTCAAACACTGAATGTATATAATACACAGATAAAAAGCTTAAACTTTCCAGTTTGTATAAACTGTCTTTGGTTATACTTATCAATTTATTGTGGGACCTTCAATTATATAAACATATACATTATTTATTAATTTCATTTAAAATGTATAACATATACAGACAACAAAGCCCTGAGATTCAGCTGTGCGGTTACCTCTTCCCAGGCAGATTGACAATAAGATATATCCATCAGCCCAATGATATTTAAATCCTAAAGTAAGAGTAGCTAATCACAAACTGTCAGATTTTCCAACTGCAGGCCTTAAACGTCAGAACTTAAACCCAATAACTATTAAACACTCTTATTATCATTCATTTGAAATACTGAGTGGCTATTTCAGGCCAAGCTGCTAAGCTAAACAGACCCAGTTCTTAGTGAGAAAAAGATAAAAACTAGAAGAACTGTGATGTAAACCCTATGGGGACACAGAGCAGGGCGGTCCCATCTAGTCTGGATAACTGGGGAACGTTCTGCCTGACGTGGTGACAGCTCAGCAAAGCTCTGGGGTGAGGAAAGCTAACTGTACAGCAAGTTCCAGAACCCCTGAAAGCAGGAGGCCTTCCCTGCTTGGGGCTGCAGGTACACAAGAGCTGAAAAGCACTAGTTACAGTTAGCGTAGTTAACAGAAGACCGATAAAGTCATGAAAATGCTCAAAAGTACAACTGTCCAAGAAAATTAAATAAGACATTTAAACTCAATGTTTTTATATGTTCAAAATTTCTACTCTGACCTAAAACCCTAATGGCTATTTTTTTAATTTAACTGATCCAATTTGAAAACCATTACAATAGAAAAGCCCACCTCTCAATTTTTCCTCATTTTAGGTTATTTTTCTCAATTAGGTTTATCAAGCCCTAATGCTCTAAGACTGCGGTCCCCAGGCCCAATACTGGCCTGTGGTCTGTTAGGAAATGGGATGAACAACAGGAGGTCAGCAGCAAGAGATCTGACAGCACAATAAATGTCATGCACTTGAATTATCCCAAAACCATCTCCCCACCACCCAGCCTCGGAAAAACTGTCTTCCATGAAACCGGTCCTCAGTGCCAAAAAGGTTAGTTGGGGACCACTGTTCCAGGGCACTCACTGTTATATAAGGACACCCAGAAATAAATCCCCACATCTATAGTGAATTTATCTTCAACAAAGGTGCTAAGAACATACATTGGGGAAAGGATAGTCTCTTCAATAAACAGTGCTGGGAAACTGGATATCCATATGAAAAAGAATGAAAGGAAACCTTTATCTCTCACCATAGACAAAAAAACAAATAAAATGGATTAAAGACAAATGTAAGACCTGGAACTATGAAACTATTAGAGAAAACATTGGAGAAATGCTTTAGGACATTGGTCTGGGCAAGGACTTCTTGAGCATTTAGGACATTGGTCTGGGCAAGGACTTCTTTGGTTGTCAAAGCACAGACAACCAAAGCAAAATTGGACAAATGGGATCACATCAAGCTAAAAAGCTTCTGCACAGCAAAGGAAATAATCAACAAAGCGAAGAGACAACCCACAGAATGGAAGAAAATATTTGCCAGCTACCCATCTGACAAGGGATTAATAACTAGAATATACAATTAACTCCAACAACTCAGGAAAAAAATCAAATAATCTGATTTAAAAAAGAGCAAAGGATCTGAGTATACATTTCTCAAAAGCAGACACACAAAAGGCCAACAGGCATATGAAAATACACTCAACATTATTAGTCATCAGAGAAATGCAAATCAAAACTACAATGAGATACTATCTTACCCCAGTTAAAATGACTTTTATCAAAAAGACAATAAAGAACGCTGGCAAGGATGTGGGGATAGGGAAACACTCCTACACTGTTGAGGGGAATGTAAATTAATACAACCACTTTGGAGAACAGTATGGAGGTTCCCCAAAACCTAAAAATAGAACTACCATTGTATGTAAAGAATGAACTTGTCCACCTTGTAGCTAGGTGGTACTATTAAATAGTTATGCACCCTCCTTGGGAGAAGTGAGAAAACAGTCATTTATTTTCAACGTGTTATAGTACAGTACACTGTACTAACAAGAAAGAGTACTTTTTAGTTGCTAGAAGCACTATCACTCAATGAAATGTTCAAACCTGAGATAGGATTTGAATTCCCACACGGGTGTTATGGTTTGCCATACATAGAAAATCTCATTTTAATTCGAAAAGTGGGCCAACTTTCCAAAAGGAAAAGGAAAGGGCAAGAACCCAACTAAAAAGCAAAACACTTTTAAATGTTAATGAAAACAATGTTAGTGATGTCCATGAAAATTTGCACACAACTGCACTGTGAAGTTAAGCCCTTTTCCAAAAATAGCTGAATGGAAAGAACTATTGTCCCCTTTTACGCTAAGGAGTGGAGTTTTTACAGAGATTAAAGGACCAGCGCAAGCCACATTGTAGGTGGCACAGTCAGCTGAGCGTGCAGCCACCAGGCTAAGCACTGGGCCAAAACACAAAGGCTGAGCGTCAACCGAAATGTAAAAGATGCAGAGACAATCCGAGCGGTGACCTACTTGGCAAATGATGTAACTGACAGATGGAGAGCGTGCATGGGCAGTTTCTGTCACTTTGAGTATATCTAACAGAAAGCCAAGCCCTGAGCTTTCTTGCCAGGTTCAGGTTCCACCAAACGCCAACCCAGGTGCGCGCTGCTCCTGGTGCCCAGGTGCCAACCCCCAACGCAGCACAGGGAACGCAAGAGCCGCGCGGGAGCACCCTCACCCTGGCCCGCCCAGAACAGGCGACCCCGTCCCAAGGCAGAGCCCCGCACCTCCGCCCCCCGCGCCCCCGCCCGCGCCGGGACCACCCGCCGGGCGCCACTTCCGGCCCGCCGCGCCCGCCCACCTGGCTCTCGCCGACGCAGAAGACGCGGCCGCCGCGGCTGAGGCACACGCGCGCGCCGGTGGGCTGCGCGGCGGCGCCGCAGAAGGTGAAGGAGCAGCGCGAGGCGCGCAGCCGCCGCACCGTGGCGCGCACGAGCGCGGCCGGCCGGCGCCCCCAGCGCGCCCACAGGTACAGGTAGCACAGCGTGATGAGCATGGCCGGCGCCGGCGGGCGGGCGCGGCCGGGACGCTCTCCCGCCGGCCGCCGCCCGCGCGCCGCCGCCCGCGCGCCACAGGCCGGAAGAGACGCGCCGCCCGCCCCCCGGCGGAGGGCTGCGCGGGGTGGAGTGGGCCGCGGGGGCGGGCGGAGGGGAGGCC